GGCCAACCACCTCATACAACATTGCCACAAAATGCTTAGCTTTCTGTATTATAGTGCATGTATGGCTATGAATGTCAAGGATAGGTACGCACGAGGTCTCAAGTATAAATTCTCTTGCAAAATAGTGGGGCCGTTGATGAGATGGTTCCCCCCCACCCCAGCACATAGCAGTACTGTGTTTATTAATTGTTAGCATGTACAGAGCACTGCAGCACTGGGGCTTTTGTGTTCTCTTGAAGCAACCCCGAGGTTAGAGTTTATATTCATTTCCCAGAGTGGGAACCTTGAGCTCGGTACTTAAGTGTTGTCCCACTTGAGTGGGACTTTATCCCACTCCCAGGAAGAGGCAAAGCTCGAGATGTGAATTCTGCTTTGCTGGCTAAAGCCAAGGCCACCTCGGCTGTTCTTCTCCATCCGTGAACACAGTTGGTCACTTATGTTTGTGATGTCCTTGTGTAAAGTATGTTAGTATCTACTTTAGTTTTATTTCATCCATAAGAGGGAAGTGCCTGGTGACTTAGTAGTGCAACTGTCAGATTACCAGAGTGTATGATAGAACGATAGAATCATGGTTTAAGGTCACGTGCACAGATTTTGTCTCTTTGGCAACTTGTACTTCTTTTGCCCCTCTATTGGCCAGTTTTCCATGATTTGGGCATGATGATTCCTAGGGTTATACTGTTGTAGGCTTTTGAAACAGTTTAGAAAAAAATTTTTTAATGTTTATTCATTTTTGAGAGACAGAGAGCATGAGTGGGGAAGGGGCAGAGAGAGCGGGAGACACAGAATCTGAAGCAGGTGCCAGGCTCTGAGCTGTCAGCACAGAGCCCGACGCGGGGCTCGAACTGGTCAACTGCGAGATCATGACCTGAGCTGAAGTCGGGTGCTCAACCGACTGAGCCACCCAGGCGCCCCTGAAACAGTTTTAAAGCTGCAATTTAATAAGACCATGACATTAAAGGGGCTGTATTTTCTTTTCAGTATTACCTTCTAATAATCATATACCTATTGAGGGATTTGTTATGAACAAAAGGTAGTGATTTTTGTAGTGGACAAATTCCATCAATATCTACTGATAATATGAATTTATTTTAGAGAAGAAAAAATATATGTAATATATATGTATCTCTTCAGATATACTTTCTAGGTATGTACCAGATTGTCAACAGTGACCTTGTCTGTGTTATGGAACTGGAAGGGGCCTCTTCAGTTATGAAATGCCATGGAAAAAGAAACCTGGTTCTTGTGGTAGTATTCTGTAAACATAAGATATTTACACAAATTATTTTGATAGGTTTTTTAGATAAGAAAATTGTTCCACATATTTTTTTTAATGCATTTGAATTTTTATTCTACAACACAAGCAACATAAATACAATATCTTTTAAAATATTTTCTCTTTAGAATTTTCATTTTCACCTCCGATAAAATGTACACAAAATACACTTGCAAGCTTGCTTACAGGGACCTGATAAACAATGAACAGACATATTCTATCAAATCAAACAGTTTATCAACATATAAAGGAGGGTAGTCTCAGTTGTGTGTGTGTGCGTGTGTGTGTGTGTGTGTGTGTGTGTCTTTTAATAAATATGACCAAACTAAGAAGGCAAAATAAAAACTGTACTTCTAGACAAGTCCTTTGGAGTAAACAAAATGCTTCAAGGCTCCTGGTGAATGGGATTGCGAGGATGAATTCTGCATTTTATAGATAAAATGGTATACTGACTCAAATCATTATGGCTATACCAAGCTTCATTTGTTTATAATTTTTAATGAAAACAAGTCGATTCTTTGGCATAATATAAGAAGGGATAAAAGAACCCTTACCACCCACTGGCTTTATTTAGCGTGGGAAATCATAACAGGGAAACTGTTTATAATGTAATTTATTTTCTCTTAGAAAAGCAGGAAAATAATCTCGAATAATAGTCTTTTGGCATGATTAGGGCAATAAATGTCTTCTTCTTAGCCACCCCCACCCACCCGTTGAAAACATATTAACAAGCAAAAATAACAGAAAGCAGCTGTTCCCTCTGGGCACCTGCTCCTGCCCCTATCATGCCATACCTGGATATCCTATCACATGGCTTCAACTGAAGTGAAACCCACAATATCAAAAGCACTAATCCTTGTCCATTTTCGCCTATTCAGCAGGGAACCGATTTTTATTACAGAGAACCACTTCCAACAAAATACAGATGGAAGAACTTCCATGGGAGGAATGCAAAGTAGCCTGCACATGACCATGAGGTAGCCCTGGATGACTGTTGTGGCTGGTAATGTCAGGGCTTGAGATTCCCTAGCTTGAAGAGAAAACATTTTGTGTGGTAGTTCAAAAGGTTGGCTTTTAGCTTCCTCCCCGCTCCCTTTTTTGGCACCAGTTGGTAAAATAAGTTGGAACTAAATTATTCCTAGAGATTAATATTTTAAATTTAATTTGAAAACCAATGACTATTAAAAGAACTAAATGCACACAGAGTTTCCAAAACAGATTATGGAAAACAAACGTGAACTGAAACAATTATTTCCATCCACAGAGGCAAGAACTTGACTCCTTAATACCATCAACCCTTTGATATGCTTTCTGATCTCACTAACTCTCGTAAATATAGTCATTTCTATTCATACAACAGTCTAAAGTAATTTAAATGATGTCAGCGTATTTAAGCAGAAGGCTTTAGAGAATATGAAATCAATAAGAATGATATAATTAATATAATTTATACATGGATGATAATTTTAAGGTACTTAATTTTTCTCTCTTGAATTATTCCCTGATTATTCTTTTTTTGGTGGAAAAAGAATTTCCAAAGTGAACTAATCAGACGAGGTGTTAAGAAACATAGGCCCCACCTATATTTAACATAATTTCACTGTATTCCCAAAGCCTGCTGATGCCCGTGTACATTTCTCCCATCACTGGAAGATGAGATAATGAGTACGGTCTCCACTGTGCAGGTATGAACACAAACACACTTACCAAAAAGTCCTTCAAACAGGCACATGTACTGCTCAAAAGGGAGTTGTTCAGTTTGCAAATTTCCATGAAGCCACTTGGTAGACTCTTCACAGGTACATAAGAATTAAAATATTAATTTACACCAGACAGTTAAGATGAAGCTACATCTAATAGTGTAATACCATTTTGAAGTGTTGATATTTGGGTGACTAATGAGAGAGAGAAACCTACTGGCAAGCAAGCAACTACTCAAAACTTCTGGAAGCCAGGAGCCAAAGTTGTGATGGAGTTGAGATGGAAACGTCTCATTAAAACTGTAATGACAGAAGAAACTCAAACACTACATATTGAAATTTAAAATCACCTCAGTACAAGTCAAAGGGTCAACATCATACAAATGATCATCCATAACCAGTGTTTCTAAATACAAAGACGAGAAGCTTACACAGAATTCACTGTTTCATTGAACTTATACATTCATTGTCTTCTAGCTTGTAAAAAAAAAAAAAAACCTAATTGTTGGCATAATAAACCTAGAAACTGGGAAGATTGAGTAGGAATGCTGTAGAGAATCCAATCCCAAGGTGTCTGCCCAAGATTCAGTTCGATGTTTCTATAGAGCTTGATAAGTCAGGCTGATCTCATAGGCAGTAGTTGGAAATTTTTTCAAGCCAGTTCTCAAAATGTGGTCCCCAGACCAGCAGCACTGACCTCACCTGGGGACTTATTAGAAATGGAAATTTCCAGACCTACTGAATCTGAAACCGTGGGCATGGGCCCAACGACCTGGGTTTTAACAAGCCCTCCAGGTGATCCTGATGTGGGCCAAAGTTTGAGAACCACCTAAGAGCAAAGTCAAAAGATACTAGACAACAACCACTAAAAACTTTAGGATAGGAACTAATAATACGCAGCAATTCTTGGTGGTTGACAAGCTGGAAGGACCATACCTGGATGGGATGCACCAGTAGCTGACTGTAATTTTGTTACTAAGATGGTCAGCTAGTCTCTCCTCCCTGGAACCCTCACGCATTATTACACAAAGATACAGGGGAAAGGTTTTATATGGTGCTAGTGGTATTGTATTGCATTTTCCTCAATTAGTAAGAGGTGCCATTGTTAACAAGGAAATTGAATATTGTTCTCAACTGAGCTTCTCATAAATTATCCCCCGGGATAATTTTTTTTTTTTTTTGGTCTGTTTTCCCTGAAGCAATGATTGTATTTTGGAAATCTAAATGGTGTTCTAGTCCAAAACTCTGTATTAAAATTTTAGTTACTTCCACATCAAATATAAACATTATAAGCAGAGGAAGAGGATCTCATAAAAGGAGAGAGACCATTTGCTAGATTGTTCCACTATGAATGAACATAGTTTTTTTTTTTTTGATGAAGCATAATTATGAGTTCTTTACTGATTTCATTAAATCTTGCCCCATAACAAGCTCCTTTTCCCAATAAAAAGTGCTTAAAGAGAGTCTCTTGCTTTTTCTAAGGCCACACTAAATGTCACCAGGATCACCTAAGTGGTACCCATGCATATCCAAGTTCTGTCACCCGCTTAATGTCATATGTTGGATTTTCCTTACGTCTGTTTCCTTGTCTGCAGAGTATGTAGAAATATTGAGGCATATGGCACATGGTGGATATTGACCTGATGCCCTCAGTACCTGGATCTTTAAACAATCTTGTCCTACCTGTCGCTTCCTTTTCAGAGAGTGCAGTGAAAAACGGTTAGAACGGATTCTGCATATTCTCAAACTTCGATGATGACTTTTACTGCCATCTACTTCCCAGGGAAGCAAGTCAAGAGGCACTGTTGGCTACAGGGCACTTGATTCTGAGTGATTAAACGGCAATTGAGAAAAGTTTACCAATCGTGCGTGTCCTTCCGGACACAGACTGCCATGCATACCTGCAGAACAGCTGGCCCCGAATAGTAGTATTCCATCACTTCCGGCTAATTTGGCAAGTTTTCTAAATTACCACTGAGGGTCTGCTTTAAGACTAAAGTTCAGACCTTATTTTATTTTCAAACACCCCAAAACATTATATTATGTGTGATCTTTCTATGAACGAACACATTTTTAAAACCCTATTTGAAAAAATCCTCCTAGGATTGCAGATATGGGACATCGATTAAATACTTTCAACTCATTTTCACTGTTTAATTCCTGGCAACACTCATGTATTCACTCTGTGTCCTTAGAGCATTGTATTGTAGACAGAGCATGGCCTTTGAATTCAGGAACACCTCTTTTGCAACCAACGTTGCCATTTACTGGTGATCTTGGGCAAATATCTCAACCTCTCTGGGTCTGTGTCCTCATCTGAAAAAAATGAGGAAAACAGAACCTGTTTGACAAGGTTATCATGAGAGCTAAAGGGTAATGTAGGTTCAGGTCTCCGGTCACGGTGGCATTCAACAAATGTCACCTCCTCCCTGTCGTCTGTAACCTCTTGCAATTGTTACCGGCTCCAAACTAAGGTCTTCACTCTGCTTAGTCTGATGGGGCGGACACAAATGGATTTTCTTTTCTGAGAAAGAAAACCTTCTTGCAGAAGCAGCCCTGTGATGTATTTGGGGAAAGTCAGGGATCTCTGTCATATAATTGCATTACGTTCTTGCAGTGAAGGCTACTTGATGGTCTCAACGGGCTCTGTATAAACCTTGAAACAACAAGAACTAAAAGCCTGGTGACACTGTACCAAGAAGTTTCCATTTAAAGGTGCTTTTGAATTATGTTAATATTCTGTCATGTTTGAAAATAATTTAATCTGAGCCATAATATAGGTTAGCATCTGCCTTGGTCATTACATAGCGTAAAGATAGTAGAAAGTGCCCTAGTTGTATATTGATGGAGGAGGCTAGAAAATAATCATAAGGGGAGAGATGGCAACACGGTGTAAGGAAGCAGCCTAAGCATTTTTAGAAGCTAATCAGGAGAGGCAAGAGCTAGGCGAGACGCTGGCCCTCCATCAAACCTATGTCCTCATGGCAAGGAGAAATCTGATGATGCGTGTGGTCTACTTGGCTGTCAGGAATTCCTAAACACTTTGAATTTTCTAGGTATTTTCATGATGCACACTTTACCAAAATATTAGAAAAAGAGAGTACATCTCAGTCGTAGGGTAACACACTTTGGGCAGTAAATACAGGCAACTGAAAGTGACGTGCAAAATCTTATTCTGCTTAGATCAGTAAAGACATGGTCATGACTGTTTTTGCCACAAAGGCTGTCTTGACCTTGGTCTTTCAGAGACCTTGGGAGAGATGGAGTGAAGGAAGAGAGGGAGAGAGGCAGAAGCCCAGACACTGGAAGTGTGTGAGGGGCCAAACAGGGAAGGGACCACTCATCTACCGAGGGTCCCTAATTATTTCCCTTTCCTCTCCACTCCTGGAGAAGACGGACGTCATTGTGACCTGAAGTCCTATTTGTTAGAGATTATTTGTCTCCGGCGATGTCCTCTTGACAACAGCAAATACCTCTGGGAAGTATCAAGGTGAGCTGAGACCAATATGGGCCTCGGGGTAGGCTACAGAATAGATGATGGGAAAGGGCTAAAACCCTCTTACAAAATTGTAGGTAAAGAGCTATGCACGTTTTCTCACTTTTTCACTCTTCGAACCTATAATGAGTCCTAGTCTCAGAGCAGTGTTTGCACATAGTACGGGGTAAATTTATTTTCCTAAACTAGCCTTGGATCTCATGAGAGAGAGTCTATGGGAGAATGAATTCTGATTTCCAAACAACTAACATATTCTGGGACGTGACATTCTAAATTGAGACTGGCTTTGAATTTTTATGCTATATAAAAAGTTGCTACATGTAAACATGTTATAATCATGGATTTGACACTCTGCTTCTCTGAAGCTTCCTCCCTACCCCACCCCATGGCCCTCACCCCCACCAAGTTAATTTTGTAGTCCTCATGGGTTCACAAAGGGGAAGTAAACCTCAGAGAAGCAGTATATCACGGTGGTTCTGTTTCTTTTTGTGGTTATTGTGAAAACAAAGGAAAAGCATCTGACTTTCCATTCTACTTCCAAAATAGAAAAAGTTTAAAAGTATAGAATACTCTTAAATACATTGCTGTTCCAACAATTCACTGCTTAAGATCAAATAGCTGATCTGGGGGCGCCTGGGTGGCTCAGTCGGTTGAGCGTCCGACTTCAGCTCAGGTCACGATCTCACGGTCCGTGAGTTCGAGCCCCGCGTCGGGCTCTGGGCTGATGGCTCAGAGCCTGGAGCCTGCTTCCGATTCTGTGTCTCCCTCTCTCTCTGCCCCTCCCCCATTCATGCTCTGTCTCTCGGTCTCAAAAATAAATAAATGTTAAAAAAAAAAACACAAATAGCTGATCTGTGTTTATACTTGAATTGTTGTCTAATGAGTAAAACCTGAAGGCAAAGAGAGGGTTTTGTGGAACTGGAAAAAATGCCTTCTGGATTTTGCTGTGATCTCTGGATGGCATACGAAATGATGGGATTCTTTGAGATTGCCTAAATAAATCAGGGAACTCTGTCTTCCTTGAGAAATATGTAAATATCTACAAGGTTAAGATGAAGTTTACAAATACTAGCACTGAGCAAAGTTTTTGGTTTGAAATCCTTACTTCTGTACTGAAGAGTTGATGTTTTATTTTTCAATGACATTCCATTGTGAACACGTTTTTAGGGGCTGGGAAAATGATAATGTATCTTAGCAACAAACTCTACTTTCTAGAATGTACATGAGTGGGCTTGATGAGTTTCAATCATTATAACTGAAGAACTATTAAGCGCACTGTAAATATGATAAAGTTTCCAAATTGATTTCCTAGTGATATCTAAAAGAAATATTCGTGTAAAATAACAGCCTGGAAAGACACCAGACATAAGTAAATTTACTTGCCAGAGAGGAGAAGTGTTTGAAATTGAAAAACTTAATTTCCTAAATTTCATTCCGTGTCCCCTTCTCCTTTAGTTCTATTTTCTTCTGAGACCAGAGCTTGTATGCCTGACACCCTCATTTTATGTGATGCTTGTATCATATTTTAAGATTTAAAATGACTTCGTCACAATCTCTTTTCTCACCCCTTCCAGCTGTCTCCCTACCCCACACTTCCTGCCCCGTTCCCTGAGAAGTCTGCTCACTGGATGGAGAACTGAGTCCTTTCCTCCGAAGGTGCGGATACAAAATGAGTTGCATTTTAACGTTTTGTTTCCTTAAAAACCCCAGGTTCTGCCCTATGTCCGGGTAACTGTGGAGCATAGAAACGTCTGTGCAACAAAAAACTAAGGCACCATTTTTTTCTTTCCCTTTCCTGTTTTGCCTTGGGAGCAAAAGCAAAGACTAATGGGGAGCCAGGGTGGCTGGTCAGTCTGTCTCTTGGCAACATCTGTGTCAGCCAATCTGCGTGTCAAAGGCTGCCAGCCCGTAGACTTAAAACCCTGCCAGGGAAGCATTTTCTTCCTTTAGAAGTAGGGAAATGAAGGCACAAACGTACCTTAGAAGAAGTTGGTGAATACCAACTGGAAAAGCTTGACAGTTTGGGACGACTTTGAAATGTTCTGGGATATTTTACAGAGGAAGCCATCCCTTTCTTGATTATGACCCCCAAGAATGTTTTTCCAGCTGCTAATAAGCCCATAATCATAATAGATAATCTTCCTCCAGTGAATGTCTTTACTAGATGCCTGAGTGCTTACACATCAGCTTGACTTACCAGCAGATATTTCCTTAACATTTCCACCAAAAAAAAAAAAAAAAAAAAAAAAAAAAAATCATAGGTCAATGTAGTGTTTTCAAAGGGGTAGTCCTGGAAAGGGATCCTTTTGGGAATAACATCGCAAGCAAAAGCACTGGGAAATGAACATCGAGATTTAGAAACGTATCAAGGAATGGAGACTCTTCTGCAATAATGTGCAAAATCAGAGTATCAGTTGTGTCATCCAGATACAAGGTTAGTGCCCAGGTTGGCCCCAGGGTTAGGGAGCAACAGATTGTTCTCTGAGACACTTGTTTTGGTGGGGCTGGTGGTGGGGATAACGCGATCAGTCAGACTGGCAGGCACTCTCTAACCCTTGCTACCGAACTTCCTCAAAGTGAGTCGTCTACACGATGATGTCGTAGACCCGGCCCACTCTGCCCAGCCATTCTCTCACGGCCTGGCGCACGCGGATGTCGGTCACGTGACAGGTCAGCTGGCTGATGCACGGGAACACTGCAGGCTGGAGTGCCGTGAAGGTCTGGTCTGGAAGGATCTGAATCTGGTTGAGAACTGTTAGCATCATGTTGGTCCATGCCTAAGAGAAAGGATTTAGGGGAATTAGCCGCCTTCTCCTCTGGGTTCAGCTGAACTCTCAGGTGTGGCTAAGCCCTGCCAGTGTGCGAATGAATTTTCTGTCTTTGGGCTGCAATAAATCTGTCTTTACTAATTGAATGTAGCGACTAGAAATTGTCATTTTGAGTTCATCCATACAAGGAATGGCAGAGACTCCTCTGACATTAGGAATACCTGATTTTCAGCTTTTGTAGGCTAGAGGCATAACTCATTTTATTGCAGTTTGCTTTTACTGGGCTTCCCAGATAGTGGGTTTTTTGTTTGTGTTTTCCTTTGCTTACTTTGTGTCTCTGTGTCACATTTTGGTAATTCTCACAATATTTCAAACTTTTGAATTATCGTATTTGTTTGGGTGATCTGTGATATTACTATTATAACTGGTTTGGGTGCCATGAATTGTGCCTATATAAGATGGTGAACTTAATTCATAAACATGTGTGCTCTGACTGCCCCACTGATCAGCCCTTCGCCCGTCCCTCTCCTTGGGCCTCCCTATTCCCTGAGACCCAACAATATTGAAGTTAGGCCAACGAATAAGCCTACGTGGACCTTTAAGCGTTCAAGTGAAAGGAAGAGTCACAGGTCTCTCACTTTCAATCAAAAGCCAGAAATGATTATGCTTAGCGAGGGAGGCGTTTTGGAAGCCGAGACTGGCACAAAAGCCTAGCTTCCAGCCTAAGTTAGCCAAGCTGTGAACGCAAAGGGAAAGTTCCTGAAGGAAATTAAAAGTGTGACTCCAGTGAACACACACATGATAAGAAAAACCACCTTAGTGCTGACAGGCAGAAAGTTCGAGGGGTCTGGATAGAAGATCAAACCAGCCCCAACATTCCCTTCAGCCAAAGCCTAATCCAGAGCGAGACCCTAACTCTCTTCCATTCTGTGAAGGCTGAGAGAGGTGAGGAAGCTGGAGAAGAAAAGTTTGAAGCTCGCAGAGGTGGGTTCATGGGGTTTAAGGAAAGAAGCTGTTTCCCTAATCGAAAGTATTGACTGGAAGCTGCAGCAAGTTTTCCAGAAGATCTGCTGAGATAAGTGATGAAGGCGGTTACACTAAACAGATTTCCAACGCAGATGAAACAGCCTTCTGTTGGAAAAAGATGCCATCTAGGACTTTCGTAGCTAGAGGGAAGTCAGTACCTGGGTTCCAAGGGCCGGCTGACTCTCTAGTTAGGGGCTAATGCAGCTGGTGACTTTAAGTTACAGCCACTGCTCATTTACTATTCTCAAAATCCTAGAACCCTTAAGAATTATGCCGTATCTACTCCGTGCTCCATAAATGAAACAGCAAAACCTGGATGACAGCACATGTTTACCCATGGCTCACTGAATATTTTAAACCTACTATTGAGAACTGCTACTCAGAGAAAAGGGTTCCTTTCAAAATATTACTGCCTGTTGACAATGCACCTGGTCACCCACGAGCTCTGACGGAGATGGACAATGAGATTCACGCTGTTCTCGTGCCTGCTAACACAACGGCCATTCCGCAGTCCGTTTCTACTTTCAATTATTTAAGAATTATTTAAATACTGTCATTATTTAAGAAATGCATTTCATAAGGCTCGAGCTGTTACAGTGATTCCTCTGCTGGATCTGGGCAAAGTAGATTGAAGACCTGGAAAGTATTCACTGTTCTAGATACTGTTAACAACATTCATGATTCATGGGAAGAGCTCAGAACATCGACAGGAACGGAAGCGTGGAAGAACTTGATTCCAACACTCATGCAGGACTCTGAGGGGTTCAGGACTCCGTGGAGGAAGTAACTGCGGTGTGGGGGAAACAGCGCAAGAATTAGAAGCAGAGCCGGAAAATGGACCTGGATTGCTGCCATCTCATGATCAAACCTGAATGGATGAGGGGTTGCTTCTTAGGGATGAGCAAAGAAAGTGGTTGCTTGAGATGGAATCTACTCCTGGGGAAGACTATTGAAATGACAACAGAGGATTTAGAAGATTACATACACTGAGTTGATGCAGCAGTGGCAGGGTTTGAGTGCATGGATTCCCATTTTGAAAGCAGTTCTAGTGTGGGTCCAATGCTATCAAACAGCATTGCACGCTACAGAGAAATAATATGTCGAAGAGTCAATGCAGCGACCTTTATTGTCGCCTTATTTTAAGAAAGTGCCACAGCCACCCCAGCCTTCAGCAGCCACCACCCCGATGAGTCAGCAGCCACCAACATGGAGGCAAGACCCTCCACCAGCAAAAAGATTATGACGTGTTAAAAACTCAGATGAGTTTTAGCAATGAAGTATTTTTAAAATTAAGGTATGTGTATATATATTTTTATATATAATGCTATCGTACACTTTATAGACTACAGTATAGTGTGAAAACTTTTATATGCACGGGGAAATCAAAAACTTCATTTGATATGCTTTGATATTTGCTTTATTGCAGTGGTCTGGAGCCAAACCTGCAATATCTCCAAGGTATGCCTGTACCAAAATCTTATTTATTCCTCATATTTTTAAAAACTCTCTCGCCTTCTCATAATGAAGAAACTTTTTTTATTTATTTTTGTGAGGAGGAGGAGAGGGGCAGAGAGGAAGACACAGAATCTGAAACAGGCTCCAGGCTCTGAGCCGGCAGTGCAGAGCCCGATGTGGGGCTTGAACCCATGAACCGTGAGATCATGACCTGAGCCAAAGTCGGATGCTTAACCCACTGAGTCACCGAGGCGCCCCTTATGAAGACACGTTAAATTATCAGTCTCTATAATGCCTAGCAAACTGGAATAGGACTACCATACGTCTCTGTTAGACTAGATTAGCAGAAGTCCAGTCAAAGATGATTTTTG